ATGATTGTGTACCTTGAAAACTCAAGAGAATCTGTCAAAAACCTCCTTACACTGATAAAAGCCTTTGGCAAAGTCTCAGGATATAAAATGTGCAAAGGACAATCGCATTTCTTTACATCAATAATAAACAGAAACCCAAATAAAAAGCACAATTCCATTCACAATAGTCACAAAAAATATGAAATACCTTGGCATCTTCCTAATCAGAGACATGAAAGACCTTTACAATGAACACTACAGAGCTCTGCTCAAAGAAATCAAAGATGACACAAACAAGTGGAAAAATATTCCATGCTCATGGGTTGGAAGAATGAACATTGTGAAGATGTCCATCTTACCTAAGGCAATCTACAGATTCAATGCAATACCCATCAAATTACCAGTAACATTCTTCTCAGACCTAGAAAAAACAACACAGGAATTCATATGGAAACACAAACGACCCAGAATAGCCAGAACAATCCTCAGCAAAAAAAAAAACAAACAAAGCAGGCAGTATCATATTGCCAGACTTCAAACTTTACTATAAAGCTACAATCATCAAAATAGCTTGGTACTGGTTTAGGAACAGGCATATAGATCAATGGAATAGAATTGAGATTCCAGAAGCGAAACCTCAATTTCTCAACCACCTCATCTTCGACAAAGCCTCCACCATCTACCACTGGGGAGACGAGAACCTATTCAGTAAATAGCGCTAGGAAAACTGGCTGACCACATGCCAAAGATTGAAACAGGACCCCTATCTATTCCCATACACAAAAATTAACTCCAAATGGATCAGAGACCTAAATGTAAAACCTCAAACCATAAGAACCTTAGAAAATGAAGGACATACCCTCATGGAAATTGGAACTGGCATCCAGTTCCTGAACAAAACCCGAAACCTACAGGTCATAAGAGATAAGATAGACAAGTGGGATCTCATTAAACTGACAAGCTTCTGCAAAGCCATAGAAACCATCAGGAGAGCAGGGAGACAGCCTATGGACTGGGAAAAAGTATTTGCCAACTCCAGGTCTGACAAAAGCTTAACATCCTGGATCTACAAGGAACTCAAACGTGCTGAAAAGAAAAAAACAAACAACCCCATTATAAAATGGGCAAAAGATATGAACAGACACTTCACAAAGGAAGACATCCGAGCAGCCAACAGACACATGAAGAAATGTTCAACCTCACTAATTATCAGGGAGACGCAAATCAAATCCACACTGAGATACCACCTAACTCCAATCAGAATGGCAATTATCAATAACTCAAAAAACAACAGTTGCTGGAAAGGGTGTGGTGAAAAGGGAACACTTCTACACTGTTGGTGGGAGTGTAAACTAGTGCAACCTCTGTGGAAAGCAGTGTGGCATTCCTAAAAGCTCTAAATGTCGACCTCCCATATTACCCTGCAATCCCCCTTTGGGAATATACCCTGAAGAACTCAAATCACTCTATCAAAAAGATACCTGCACACGAATG